TTTTTTTTTTTTTTTTTTTTTTTTTTTTTTTTTTTTTTTTTTTTTTTTTTTTTTGTTAGCATGGCCGACAAGTCGTTCTCTCTCGGAGACTCACACGACAAATCGAAATCTTCATCAACTAGTACACTGCGCACAGGGGACAAGAGGCATATGGCCATGACCAGAGCACACCGCTATTCCTTCCTCAAAAATCTCCAATGAGAGCCGAGCAAGTTCTCATAGGCATAGAGATGGTTCTCTCTCAGCTCTCTAAACTCAACCGTTCTCTCTTTACTTCACCAATCCGCCGAAGTTTTAGCGTATTTGCAAAAACCAATAAACCCATAATCGCGGCCACAGAAGCCTCCATTCTCACTTCGCCTTCATTTTCCGCCCCCAAATCCACTCTCACGGCCGTCGAACCAGTTTCGATCACCGATTTTTCAGAATATCCCGAAGAACAACAGTTAACCATCTCCCCTGAGAAGCTATTTATTCCGCCGGAAACTGATTTCTCCGGCAGCGGCGCTGCGGGGACGAGAATCTTGAAGGGTTCGAACATTGTGTTGGGACGGTACGCGAGGGATGCGCAGATTTCCGAGGCGAATTTTGTGAAGAGTAGTGTGAGAACCGAGGACTGCCCTTCTGATGGGCTTCCTGAATTTGCCCTTGTTGGGCGCTCGAATGTGGGGAAATCGTCACTGTTGAACTCGCTCGTTCGCCGGAAGAAGCTCGCTCATACCTCCAAGAAACCAGGTCGACGGTTTGTTTTGCCATATTGTTTCTTTAATTAGTTGTGTTATTTTCATTTGTTGTGAAGCCACTGCTTTGAAAGGAAAAATGGTGTAGTTTCGTAGTCCATGAGAACTCTCCTAGCACTTGTGATATGTTTGGTGTAGTTTCATATTGTCCCTAATGCTTAACGATATTGTCCGTTTTAGCTCGTTACGTATCGCCGTCAGCCTCACGCATTTGCTAGGGAGAGGTTTGCACACTCTTATAAAGAATGTTTCGTTCCACTCTCTAACCGGTATCTCACAATCCACCTCCTTTAGGGCCCAACGTCCTCGCTAATTCACTGCTCAGTGGCTGGTTTTGATACCATTTGTAACAACCCAAGTCCACCGCCGGTAAATATTGTCTGCTTTAATCCATTACGTATCATCGTTAACCTTTTGAAACGCGTCTGTTAGGGAGAAGTTTCCACACCTTTATAAGGAATGCTTCGTTCCCCTCTTCAACCGAGGTGGGATCTCAGATAATAGATAATAGGAACTAGAGGACTGTACATGATTTTGAAGAAAATTGAACAACATAGCTTGAACAGAACAAATATCTGCCAAACTTCTTTGAACTATGCGTTTCATTGATTCAAAGCCTTGACCTTATAACTCCATTTTCTCATCATTCATCAAGGCTCTGTTGTTATGAATGATTGGCGTGTTAAATCCCATCCAATCTACGCATGCAAGTGTAGGGGTATATTAAGATTTTGAAGCTTTCATCCAATTTGCCTTCTTAAGCTAATAGAAGTGAAACATTATCGATAAAATGGGGTCGAGCTCAATCAAAACTGCCACTACTCCCAAGTGGGGTTCATTGGCACTCTCACTTCCCGACATAGATACGAGCATGTTGAGCTTTTCAGTGAGAATGAAAGTGTAAATGAATCGACCTCAAATAGAGGAATTCCTGGTCCTGTTTATATTCTTGCATTAACGGGAATGTAAAATTTAGATCCTTCTCGTGAAATTTTCTATCTCCGCTACTTGCCAGCACGTGAGAGAGAAAGGGCAAGAGAAGGAATAAGCTAATTAATGAGTTATCATAGGCCTTTTCTGTTATGATTCGAATGTCTGAAATCCCTTGTACTGTTTAATCGCAGATGGTCTCTTCCAATTGTTCTATTAAGAATGTTGGATGTGGATATAAACACTTTGTGTTTTATTGCAGGAAAGACACAGTGCATAAACCATTTTCGAATCAACGATAGTTGGTACTTGGTCGATTTGCCTGGATATGGGTATGTCTTAACTTCGAGTTGTGTCGTTGTCAGATCCCTTTTCAAAGTTCGAACTTGCTTCCATGTGACTTGCTCTGTGATGGGGCATGAGTTTGCCTCTGCCCTTATTCCTTCATATGTGCTACCTCTATTTGAGTAAATGCCAATGGCATTTGTTTGTTCCTTTTTTGTAGGTATGCATCTGCACCACGGGAACTCCGAACGGACTGGAATAAGTTTACCAAGGACTATTTCCTGAATCGGTCAACGTTGGTTTCGGTTTTCCTTCTTATAGATGCCAGCGTTCCTGCCAAACAAATTGATCTTGACTATGCTAGTTGGTTGGGCCAGAATCAGGTAATATTCTTCTTGCATGTATGAGGCATATAGAAGGAAAATATCCAATTTGCATATCTTATTTTTCTTAAAAAGACAATATCTTTTAAGAAGCTGAAAGTATTGAAGGCTGTGAGAGTACAAGAGTATGCATATGATATACTATGGGAGATCCCATGTTGGTTGGAGAAGGGAACGAAACATTCTTTATAAGGGTGTAGAAACCTCTCCCTAACAGACGTGATTTAAAACCTTGAGGGGAAACCCAGAAGAGAAAGTCCAAATAGGACAATGTCTGCTAACGGTGGGCTTGGCTGTTACAAATGGTATCAAAGTTAGGCATCGGGCGGTGTGTCAGCGGAAACGCTGGGCCCTCAAGGGGGATGAATTATGAAATCCCACATTAGTTGGAGAGGGAAACAAAGCATTCTTTATAAGGGTGTAGAAACCTCTCTATAACAGACGCGTTTTAAATTCTTGAGGGAAGCCTAAAAAAAAAGCTCACTGAGAACCATATCTGCTAATGGTGGGCTTGAGCTGATACAAATGGTATCAAAGCCAGGCACGGGCCGATGTGCCAGCGGGGACACAGGGCCTCCAAGAGGAGTGGATTGTGAGATCCCACATTGGTTGGAGAGAGAAACAAAGTATTCTTTATAAGGGTGTGGAAACCTCTCTCTACCAGAAACGTTTTAAAACTTTGAGGGAAAGTTTAAAAGGGAAAGTCCAAGAAGGACAATATCCACTAGCGGTGAGCTTGAGCTGTTACATGCTATGGGTTAAGTGTGGGGATCAATAGCGTATTAGTTAAGTGTGGGGATCAATAGCGTATTAGTTAAGGACAAAGTTGTAATTAGTTAGGGGTATCTTGGTTATAAATAAGAGTGTTGGTCCTCTCGAAAGGCTATTGTTACATAGAGATATACTACTATCTTGTGTTTTTGGTGTTGGCTGCCTATAAAAAACCACCAAAAATAACAAAACAAGGGTTGCAAAGATTCAAGAACAAAGACTCGCAGATTCTTGCTAGAGGCATTGAAGTATCCATTCCTGCATACCCCCTGTATTAAAAACAAGAGATCTTCGTTTCTTAATTTGTATTGTAAGAGCCAAATCGAAAGTCTAAGAATCGGGTTTATTTACTAGAAACTTTGTGTGAGATCCTACCTTGGTTGGAGGGGAGAGTAAAGCATTCTTTATAAGAGTGTGAAAACCTCTCCCTAACAGACACGTTTTAAAACTGTGAGGCTGACAGTGATATGTAACACGCCAAAGCGGACAATATCTGCTAGCGGTAGGTTCGGACTGTTGCAAATGGTATCAGAGCTAGACACCGAACGATGTGCTTCTAAGGGAGGTGGATTGTGAGATCCCACGTCGGTTGAAGAAGATAACGAAGCATAACTTATAAGGATGTGGAAACCTCTCTCTAACAGACGTATTTTTAAACTGTGAGACTGACGGCGATACATCACGGGCCAAAGTGAACAATATCTGCTAGTAGTGGGTTTGGACTGTTATATTTTATTTCCCATGATTTTCAGCCTTCGCCCTTCACTTAACTTGTTCCAAATCTTCTTCTGAACCTTTAGGAACAAGAATCAGCCCCTAAGTCTAATATTGTACGGTAGAAATTCATTCAATTTGATGCATTCGTTTTCAAGAAAATTCGACATGGAATGTTTCCTGCAGATTCCAATGACGATAATATTTACGAAATGCGACAAACGAAAGAAGAAAAAGAAAGATGGAAAAAGAGCAGAAGAAAATATGAGCGACTTTCAGGAACTGATTGGTGGATTTTTCCACACGACTCCGCCGTGGATTATGACCAGCAGTGTCACCCATCAAGGTCGGGACGAAATTCTTCTGCATATCGCTCAACTGAGGAACTACTGGCTCAAGCACTGATAAAACACTTCAGCCCGCCTTCCCATGTCGATCAGGTACGACCTCATATTGGTTATGCTCATGCTTGCTATATATAGAGATATCCGCTTCTTGTCCAAAAGTAGGTTCTCTCGATTTCGAGCTCCAAAATTAACAATGGCTGCAAATGTTGCAGCTTGCTGATGTTTCTCGACACGAATAGATGCACTTCATCTTGACTCAAAACGGGTCGATAGAATGTGATTCCTGTATTATATATTCAACAGCTCGAGGTCGGACGAGGACACAAAGTTTGGAGAGTTTACAAACCAACACTAACACGGCTTAATAGTGTTTCACAAGCTTCATTCTGTCACTGCTTAAAAGCTTCAAACAGGGCAATATAATGGAAGATTAGTAGAGAGTTGCTCTATTATCTTGTGGATCCCGTTTATTCCTGTTCTGGATAAGGATGGGTTTACTCCTTTGCCCAAACACTCGGCTTCATTACTCGGAGACTTGGCCTTGTTGCAAACCTCATAACTGCTGGCTTGTCCTTCTCTTTTTCCTTTAAAATAATATCCTTTAACAGTAAATTTTGGGTGTAAACAATTTCTTGGCTGTTTAACTTTTTACCATTATTATGCTTTAGTTTGTACTCTAACTTGATGCCAAGTATCGAGATTTAAAAGTTTACCACAGTAAAATTTAAAGATTTAAGCAGTAAATTTTGATTAAACTGATTTTTAATCAAATTAGTCCATAAAAATCACACCATTGTTTGAGTAAAAATTTAGTCGCTTAGCACACTGATGCGAATTGGCGATTACGTTTTTGTTGCGGTTGTAGTTGTAGTAGTAGATAACAACAACGACACAACAAAGACATTAGCTATCTGAAAAAAGGATAAGCTGTGTTATAATTGAGAAAGTTTTAGGCAATGTGACCATACAGTGGGGAAGATGGAACTATTGGCAAATACTGTCTTGCGAAAACGCTAGTGGGCACGAAGCGTAGTCAAGAAGGAGTTTGACTATTGAAATGGGATCGAATCCATCCTATTGAGGGGTTTTGAAGCGTAGCCACGAATAATAGGAAAACCTATGCACGAGGGGAATGGATGAGCTAAAGGTGCCATGTCACGGGTTAACCTTCCTCTCCAAAGAGGTCATCTCAAAACCCCTCATCTAAGAGATTCTCTTCACCAATCTTGGACACTTTTGATTTTTTATGTCGTACTTATTTGAGTAATTTTTTACCTGAAAAATATTATTATGTAAAAAATTATATATATATATATATATATATATATATCCCAATATAACAACTTTAAGATTTAGATTAAAATTGAATATTGGGAAATATAATGTAATGTTTATAGTTTAAATATATATCTCATCCCAAAATAGCTATTATTATTATTATTTAATTTTGAAAAGCACTAGAAAATTGCAGGCCCAAGTTGTTCGGAGGAGGTCCACAAGCCCTAATTTTCTGTTCATTCCAAACGAGGGAATTTGCATGCTAATGTCACACGCGCTGCACGCGCTCAAACGGCGGTTAGCGGAACCAGAGGTGGAGCCTCGCCGCGCGTTTGGGACTAGGTCTTTAAGCAGGGTTTTACTGCTCGAGTGGGTTTACGTATCTGGTATTTTCCCTCCAAATTTCGATTTCTTGTGGGTCGAGCCCCTTCCATACTTAAATCTTCAGTTATCGCCGGATAATCTCTTTCACCTTTCATGGTCTCTTTCAGGTGTCAAGATGATTCTGTTTCTAAATTTGTGAAAATCTTCATACACTATCGCTCTACCATGCTTGATTGATTTTGAAGTTAGGGATTAGACTAGTACTGGAGTTCTTAAATGAATGCCGCGCTGGTTTCTGTGTTCTATGTGATGAAGGAACATTCGGCCATGGATTTGAAGCTTTGGAAATTTTACTTTTAGTTTTCAGTACATGGTCGAGTAGTGGATTATCAGTCTTTCCTTGGCTAGGACTTTGAATTTCTGTTTGTTCAAGTGGAATTAGTTTCTCTTGATTTTAGGGTATGGTTCAAACAAAATTGAATCTGAAGTAGCTTGTTTTGTATCTTCTGCAATTTTATGATTTTCTGTGTTATTGTTTTGTATCTTCTACTCTATTCAACTAATCAATGTGGCATGTTTTTGTGTATGTATGCATTATATACTAGTCACAATTGTTAAATTATCTGAAAGCATGGTTAATCAGTGTTACTTCGTATTGATATTCCTTTTAATTTTGTGAATCTATAAAATAATGTGTTATTTTCTTTGGCTTCAGCTGCATTTATTCTTGGAGGAGATCCGCTTTGGTATTATGGTAGAAACAGAACAAGAGGAGAAAGTTGAATTTCAATGGGGCAAAAGGAAAGGAATTGGTGGGAAGAAGAAGGACGTGTCCTTTTATGAATCTTTTACTTATGATGGTGTAGAATATTTTCTTTATGACTCTGTTTACCTATACAAGGAGGGTGAACCAGAACCTTATATTGGCAAGATTCTTAAAATCTGGCAGAATCCAGATAAGACGAAGAAAGTAAAAATTCTTTGGTTTTTTCGACCTTGTGAGATTCTTAATTATCTTGGAGCCGAAGACACAAGGGATAATGAATTATTTTTGGCATCCGGTGATGGTGTTGGTCTTGCCAATGTTAATTCTCTGGTAATTATTTGCTTGTGCTTTACCATTTCATGGCAATGTACTCTCTCTCTCTCTCTCGATTCATCTGCCTTGTATGTCGAACAAGTTGACTTGGTACTTGCACGTCATTGGTAAAAATTATGAAACTAGTTAGTTTAGATGGAATTATAGCCCACTCAAGTGATGGTTGGCAAGCATATGGGCATGGTAGGATTTTTTCTCAACCTTCATCTCTTGTGGCTTTGAGTAACACTTCTCAATACTTCTTGTATGAATCACCTTTCAGCGCCTATTCCCTCATTAATACTCACTGATTAGATTCTCCTTGTATGCCTATGAAAGGTGGTTCTACAGCTTATTATTATTCTCCTCGTATAATAGCCCTCATCGTTGTCTTTTCCTTGTCTATCTTTTTTCCTCGTCTATGTTTGCCCTTGTGACTACGATCTTTATTCATTATGAGGATTCTTTTTCGTTTAATATTGATTCAACTGTCCTTTGTCTAAATGAGTCTTTGGGGTGTTTCTTTACTGCTCTTTTGGGCCAATTTTCATGTAGAGTATTTTTATATATATTGTTTTTTACACAAAACTATTAATAATGATTTTTATTTCCTATTTCATTAACTGTGCCTCACTCCACTTAAGCAACTCATTTTTGTCACCTCTTGGCTTTAGGCCTTTAAGAAGCTTGTTGTCTTGGAGTGCACCTTCCACTTTGAAAATGAGTTTGTTGAAGGAAGAGATTGTGTGTGATGGAGACTGTGCGTTTGTTATTTTTTTTAATAATTTATTTCCATATATTTTGTGTCTCAAATCAGGAAGTAATTGCTGGAAAGTGCAGCGTTCTCTGTTATTCAAATGATAGCAGAAATCCACGACCTTCAGATGAAGCACTCAAAAAGGCTGATTTTGTATTTTGTCGTACATTTGATGTTGGAAAACTAGAGGTCTGCAATGAGATATGTGAAAAAATTGCCGGAGTAGAAGGTTTGAATTCAGTTTTCCATAACAATTTCACAATAGTTCGACCTTTGGTTGGTTTTTTATAATCTTATCTCAAAACTGATTGTTTCTTCCTCCATCGCAGTTAAATTTTTACTCAATAAAGTAGATACTTCAAAATATGTTAAGAGGGCCGAGAAGGATGGGAAGGATGCAATTGTAAATACTGAATCAGAAGATCTTTTTGAAAGGAACACTTCTAATGGAGAATCAACTTTGAAGACTAAGGACAGCACTGTCGAGATGTCCACCAAGGAAAATGTTGATTTGAAGGCTTCTCTATCTATAGAGAAATCCTCCAACGAAGAGAAGTCTGGTGTATGTGTGAGTGATGGAGGAAACGGAATGGCTAATACTAGTAGCAAACACAAAAACATCTTAGATGATAAGGTCTCTTCGAAGCTTAAAATTGATTATAATAAGACACCCGGTAAAGATGCGCTACCTAAGGATGTTGAAGGTAGAGTTAAAAGTCCGAGGGACTCCTCTGAAGTTGAACATAGACCAGAAAAGAAGGCAAAACTAGATAGTTTTGTTCAATTATCTCTGGGAAAGACCAAAAGCGACATTCAAAAGCCTGGCCTCAATCGCAGTAATGGTGATACGCTGGCTTCCTCACCCAAGATTCATGTTTCTGAAAATGCTTCCAGGACCAAAAATGTAAAAGATTCTCATGGAACAAAAGACAGCCTTATCAAGAAGCCCAAACTAGATGAGAAGCCAACAAAGGTTTCTATTGGCAAGAACCTAAAGCCTTCAGTTGCAGACTGCAAAATAGATGGTCAAATTGTGGAAGTTACTAGAAGGCCAGACGCTGTAAGTTGTATTCTAGTTTTGTTTTTTTTTACTTAGCTTGTGATTGGACTTCATTTTTTTTTTTTTTTTTATGCCCTTGTGAAAGAAGATCAGTTTATCATTAAAAATTGGGTACATTTAATAGTATGATCCATTTGGTCTTTTGGGTTTTGACCTCTAGAATTATCCGATATGTAATATGGAATGGCACACATGATAGTTACCTCATTCAATTTCTTGTTTCTTGCATTAGTAGCATTTTGTTCATGCATTGGAGCACCACATTTCGGTCACATATTATTTGTTTTTAATGACTGGAATTAATGCTAATGTCTCCCTTCTCCAACTCATTTTATGGTTTATATGATACAATCCACATTCTCAAAAGCTCCATGTTCATGTTGCAATATTAGTATGGAAACTGTAGTGGAATATGGATCCTTTTACAATGGCCTGATATGTCTTCTTGTGAATTTTGATACAATAATTCTATTTGAGATAGTTTTTAAGGTTCTGATCGTTATGATTTTCATCGATTGGACAGGATAGAAGCAGATGGTTCAAGGGACTTGTAAGTCAATCTTTCACTCTTTAGTAAAATATCATTTTTATTATTCAGATTTGTAATATCTTTTTTAAACGACGAGTCACTACGAGAGATTAATTTGTCTTTTCTGCTGTTTCTACTCATTCATTTACTTATTCTATTTATTTCCAGTTTTGGAGTTTAAATAGCCTTGATTCTAGGCTTGTACTCCCTTTTCTTTTTTATTGGAAAATTAAGGAGAATGAAGTTTGAGAAGTCAGGTCATTTGAAGGATGTGAAAAGGTGACAAGAACTAAAAGTAATTCTGTTAAAATTGTAGGCTAGATTCGCTCCATCAAAGTCCGAGATTTAGAGCAGTAAGACTTAGGATCTCAAAATGAGACAGGATATTACCTTTTCCTTTTCGCTTCGTTGGGCAGCACCCTTGTTTTGTTAGGTAGTTCCTCTGTCACTCACATCAACATTCCCCCTAAATCATAAATTCTATAATTTTGAAAAGTAATTACCATGTCTGGGTGTATGAATCTCCAAAACATGAAAGGTTTTCCAGCTAAATGGTTAAAGATGAAATATTCACAAAGGGTCGAAGAAACAAGGTCCCTTTAACCAGTAGGTGTTGACAGAAGGGGCTGGACCTGCTTCATATCCAAAAAGAAGTTATCATGGATAGATTTTTTTAGCCAAGTAAAAGAGCCATTTGTAGGCTTCCATTAATTCAGTTTAGGCTTTCTTCTAATTTTTGTATCTCTTATGGATAGTTTCCTATATTTATACCTAAAACGATACTTTTTACATGGACAGTTCTTGATACACTTATCTTAATATTTCTAAGGTTTGATGATAATTATTCTTAACAACTTAAAAGAGCCTTTTGTAATCTTCCATCAATTCGGTTGAGGCTTTCTTCTCATTTTTGCATCTCTTTTCAATATATTGATGAAAAGTTTCCTATTTTTGTACTTATTAAGATCCCATTTACATGGCCAGTCCTTGAGATGCGCTTATCTTTTTCTTCTAAGGTCTGATGGTAATTATTCTTAACCAATTAAACTGATCATCTTTATGCCAGCCGTGGGAAGAAAGAATGAAGAATGCGCATGAGCAAAGAACACTTGTCCTAATTCAGAATTTTGATCCTGCTTACACTTCAGGTGAAGTGGAGGTAATAATAGCTTCTTTGCTTTGATTATTTGATGTGATGTGCTACTGTATTGTATTATTATTTTCTTTTCCAGACTAGTTTAATTAACACAAATAAAATGATAGAAAATACCTCTAAACTATGGGTACTATGGGTACTGTTTCAATAATACCCGAAAATTTAAAAGTTCAAAAAATACCTTCGATTTTTCAAAAACCTTAAAAAAGTCCTTATCGTTAAGTTTTGGAAGGAAAACTCTTTTATAATTTTGTTTCAATAATACTCTTGACTTTAAAAGTTTCACAATACCCTTGACCTTTCAAAATGTCAAAAAATATCCTTATCTTTTAAGTTTTGGATGAAAAACGTTAAAGTTTATTAAGCTCATTGACATTTAATTGTGCTTGTAAGAGACCGTTTTTACATCTGTCTTCCTAACTTGTAGATAACTTGGATGTCAATCTTGTTTTTTTTTAATTGATTGAATCATTGGCCTGATTGGTGAAATCAACTCTCTAATATCTCTCTTTTGATAGTTCTCCATCTTTTTATCTTATTCATCTTTCTATTTCTTTATCTAAACAGAATAGGTGATTATATTAGTGGTAATTTAGTGAACTTGAACACCATTCTTGTGGACAATACGTACTTTTGACATTCTTACACTATTAAAACTTGGCCCATACACTTACGATATTGCATTAAATAATTGTACGGAACACCAACTCATAGAAAGTCATTGTGCACTAACTTACGTAGCTAGTATTTTTCAGTTAAGTTTCTTAGTTTAATGCTACATTAACGATTGCTAATGGAAACTCAAAAATTTAAAGAAAACATAGTCACAAATGAACTTCAAATTTGAGTGTTAATTTTGGTGCAATAAAAAACAACAAACCTCTAGATGGAAGCAATAGGTGGATCATCGATAATTTATTTTTTATGTCCACAGTTTGACGTCAAATACAAGCTTTAGAGTAGCTGACTTTTAAACATACTCAAGAGAGAACTCAATTCCACAAAGTAAGATGATGATAAAGTATCCTTGTACTTCAAAGAGTTGAACAAATCCCTACCTGAATCCCCACATTTAGGCTTTCAAACCCATCACAACAACAATTTAGCCTTCTTTTTTGTCTTTGAAGAGAGAGGGTTATGGTTATGGATTTTGGGTTTTGGGGTTTTTGAACGTATTTAGTCAAATTATTACTACAACTTTTTAAATGCTAGTTATTTGTTCATTCTCATTAATTTTCATAGAGTAAGATTCTGCCCAGAGGGGAAGAAGATGAAACATTTTTTACTAAGAGTATTTCAATTTTTTTTAAAGGTAAAGGGTATTATTTAAATGACCATCTTCTATCCAAGAAGGGGTATTTTCGAACTTTTTTGAAAGGTCGGAGTATTTTTGAAATTTTTGAAAGTTTAGGGGTATTATTGAACATTTTCCATCCAATGTTTTCGGAAAGATCAAGGGTTTTTTTGAAACTTCTGTTTAAGGGTATTTTCTATAATTTAACCAATTATTCTATATGGGATCATACAACTAAGTCAGATTGTCCTTCCTTTTATTTCCTGTACAATATTCCAGGATATTGTCTGGCATGCCTTCAACGAGAGTTGCACTGCTAAGATGATTCAGCGTACTGCAAATTCTATGCCTCACATAGGTGTGAGTTTAGGATGGTTTCCCAACTCCTGTTCCATATTATCATGATGAAATGTCTGATTGCTTTCCAAATTCTATCGTCGTTATTAGTTCTTTGAGAATTCTTTTGCCCATATTATTTTGCAGGTCAAGCTTATATTGTATTTAAAACTAAGGAAGCAGCAGAGAAAGTGGTTAGAAAACTAGATGAAGGTTGCTTATTGCTTGCTAATGGGAAGTAAGTTTGCATTCAGTGTAGTCTCTAGTGCTGTTACTTTCAAATCATCTATTTTATTCCATGTGTCCTCTGTCCGAAGCATTTGGCCCTCTTGACTAGTTTAACATGCCAGTTCTTGGGCTTTGAGGTGCCATTAGATGGGTGGTTGACAGTTTCTAATTTCATAGTGGCAGTAACAATTTGATAGTTCTCCGTCATGCTTCATTTAATTTTCCCATTCACCTTCTTTCTATATTGCTGCATGCATTTTGAAGTTGTACGTGTTTGCTTTGGCAGATAAAAGAAGTTTAAAGGTTTCACCCCCACCCCACCCTAATTGAGTCCCTGCCTACTTCTAAGGTCTATGCACACTGAATATATTTTCCCAGCTAACATTTTTCCTTAAAAAAAAATTGCAGTGCTCTTTTTGGTAGCTTTGCAACTCCTCATCTCCAGTTAAAGAAACAAACGTATTTTGGGCATCACAGTATTGATAAGCTAAGGCATCTAATGCAACGTGAGATGGTAATGTGCGCCTTTTTCTCTGAACTAGCCGATTACACTTGTCTCCCTATTCATTTTCCCGTGCTTTTTGGTTACTGCCCAGAAAGAAGCTGTATCAACCTCGCATTGTTCTCAGCCGAATACGGTAGAATATGATATGGCCATGGAATGGTGTTTACTGCAAGAAAGATCGCAACTCACCTGGAAAAAGTTGTTCAAGGTCGATTTCGTTCTATTGAACTTAAATGGTGCAATGTTATCATTGAGTTTGCTGTCTTTTTAACTTGTATTTTGGCTCTATTTACTTCTAGCAACAAGAAGAGGAGTTGAGAAAATTCAAGAGCAAGCTGAAATTTAGATGAGTTCCGTTGGCCTCACCGATGCTATATTTGGCTAGTATTTTCAACCATGCGAGAAATCCTTTTGATCTAGCACATTTTGAATCATGGGAGTACCTCACTCTTGCAAGTACCAGTGGTGTTAGACTTAAATTTTCTTGCTCTTGCAAGTTATCAAAGTGGATTAATTGGAAATTGTACATTGGTAAACCTCTCCATCTTATTCAAATGTCAACTTTTTCTTAAAAATTAACTGTTTTCGTTAAACCAATAGACATTGTTTCTATATATTATGCCCGGTTCTGTGTTCGTTGAATGAGTGAATTGATATGATCATTTTCTGGCAGAGACGAGAGGAAATTGGTTAGACGAGGGTCCTAGCTTTTGGAGGAACTTGATAAGATGAAACTTCTTGGTAAATTCTGAGGCTTTGGAATCAAAAGACCGCTGCATGTAGAGACGTGGTCGATGATCTATACGGATGCCTCTATAATGGGTGAGTTTAGATGAATCTTGCATCCTTCAAAGTATTTGATCTAAACATTGAACCGGAAGTATTTTGATGATAATTAACACCTAACTAGTTTTGGTGCACAATTTGTTGTTACTGTATAGAGTAATGGACATCAAGTAAAGCGGTTTTAAATCATCTTTATTTAGAGTTTTACCTTGAGGTAGAAAAATTAAGTTTCTCTGGAAGCATTTTTATTAAGCTTTTAGGGCAAAATGTTCTCTTTTCCAAAATTATCCTTTATTTCCCATTATCTTAAACCATTTCGGCCTTCCGGCATTCTCGAACTTAAATTTAATGGACTACATTATTCAAAGTTTTATTTCGTATTATATTAAATCTATACAGGGCTTTTCTTTGTTTGGAGCATGAAGAACAGGGTTTGAACAAAAATATGAAAAACAAAAAGATTTCAGCCATATTAACGCTCTTGGGTAGCGAGGATTGATCAAATCTAGTAAAGATGTTTATAATCTGAAGGGGGAAGAAGGCTTTTCAAAAGGAAATGATTTCTGGGTTATGAAGTATGAAAGCTGAAAACAGGGGCCATCTGATGCAATCATGCAACAATTTGGCCTAACCTTTTTCGTAGTGAGGGTATGATTTTTAAGCGTTCTGATTGAAGATATGATGTTTTAACGTTCGACAACAGAAGTTGACAGTTTAGCAAATCTGTCAATCCGACAATTAGAAAGGAAAAGTTTAAAAAAAGAAGCCAGCGAAATAACCTTAAAGATCAAAGACATGGAACGGGAATCAAAATAAGTGAAAATTTTCATACAAGGAAATAATGTTACATGTGTTAAATCTAAGAGTTCTTTGTTAGGAGAAAAATGAAAACGACTCTAAAATTACGCAACATACTATCCTACATCAACTTGTATGGGCTATAGGCTCTGACTATCTCATGATAACCTAAGGAGTCTAAAATGCTATCACAAAAGATGAAAGAATATGCTGGACTTTTTAAAGGAAAATTTTAAATAATTATTAGTTTATGGCCAAGGTGGCACTCAAGAACCACCATAGCTGCCCGTTTGAATGGCATCGGCAAACAATCGAGGGCCAAAAAAACAGATTCAGATGACTAAGGTTGTGCTACATGGAGAACATTACTTTAAAATTTAGCAACGACGCTCTTCTACTTGTCAGGATGTCCTCTTTTACCCTTACGACGTGCATGGTGGACGTTTGCGTTGTGAGCAGGTTTCTTTGGTTTTTTCCTGCAAGTGATCAGAAAACTTGAGTATTACACATGTGAGAAAGAACTGAATCAATGGAAGACGAGCAGCTGCACTTGTGTTGACATAAAACTGTATGTCTAGTACTGACCAGAAAATGGCAGAGCATATGTTGAACAGCAGAATAATAGGAAGAGCCAATATAGCGGAAGCCTGCAGCATTTTCATTGGAATTCAATGTGAGTAGTATTGAGAGGTTTGGGAGGGAAAAAAAACTATGTCATGTTAAGGAACATAAAATGCATACCGCAAACCATTCCAACTCTCTAGTTGCGAGGGGCCTGATCAATTCGTGTTTATGAAGAGTCTCTTTAACAGTACCTTGAACCTTAAAAAACCAAATAATAGCTCACTTAAAAATAATTGTTATTTCCTCTCAAGAAAAGGATAAATATGGTTGAACAGATTGCCCAGTCTCATTTGAACGAATCACAATCAACATGTTAAGAGGGGAGATTCTATATTTCCAGCTGAACACTTCGAGCAATTCAACAAATGATGATAATATATTGTAGCTGACAGTTAGTCTAGATGATGGAATGGAAGGAAAGGTAAATGTCTAGAAAATATGGGCAAATCTTTTATTCCATATCAGTTTCATTCCATAGTTCCTCACCAACCGTAAAACAAACATACAAAACCTTGGTAACGGTAGCCAGAAGGACTAGGAGTGGAAACACAACTAAGAGACTCAAGGGATAGAATACATACCAGACAATAACACAGGCAATTTAACGTACACAAGCCAGCTAAGAAGCATGAACACAGACATGAGCCAGAGCCAGGGCGATACGTCAATTTCTAAAAAAACTAGGACACAGACACATTGGGGATACTTTTTTTTTTCTTTTATGATATATGTGAATTTAACATAAAAATATCAAAGGTACTCTACTAAAAAGCACAAAATTTGTTGGAGTGAGTGGGCATGAACAAAACAAGGCTGGTGGTATGGTGGTTGTTGCTTTTTCGTGATCTGCAGAAGCAGAAAATAGAGAGGGTTTTTGGTTTTATGTGTTCTTAATGCTTTATATTGATTACAAATTAAACTTAGAAGGAGATTCAATCTTGGGCTAAAAATAAATAGGATGGGTCTTTTTTTGTTAAAAATTTATCCCAAGTGTCCACCGCATCTGAAACTAAAAAAGAAAAAATAAACGTGGACAGATAGTTTGGGGTGTCGAACATGTGTCCAGACATATCCGTGTCCGTGCTTCATAGCAAGCAAGCAAATCAGCTACTACAATCCTACACAATTTGTAAAGAGGGGAAGAATGCATGAAGTGTACCTTTTGATGATATACAGCGTAAGATTCTAGAAATTTTCCAGATGCACGAACTAATTTCTTCGTATAGGGCTTCAATACCACCCTAACCTTTTCAACATGAGGTTTCGTAACAGTAGCTACCTGATCAACATATGGCTTGCTGAACTTCTTAACTTCCTGTCACCAAACGAGAAAGAGGAGAGAAACGTTCTCTAGTGAATGGTAGCTATTTTTATTTAGGGAGAAAAGTGAATACAGTATAGACAACATACCAGATAGTACGGACCAATAGCTTCTTTTGATTTAACTGCATAAGGAGTTATCACACTCTTTGACGTCTTGTAAAATTCTACAGTTTTTGTAGTTAAAGTCTCGACATGTGGTTTAACATTTGTTTTCACAACCAACCATCTTTCCTTCACAGCCGGGATATATTTCTGCAAGCAATGTCATGGAGTGTTGAAGTGCTTTCTGATTATTACAGAGCTCTCTCTAGATTGAGCATCATGGAAGGAAAGAACCTTAGTAAAGAATGAGAAGCAACAATATTGCATAATACGATCGTGTATAGTAGAATATAAGAACTTTTAGGTGCTGAACTATTGAATTATGATACTATAGAATCAAAGTACAGACCATCATTAATCGAGATACCGGGTCAAATTTTCAATTTCTAAGAGATCAAAGCACAAAAAATAGAAAATAAAAACTTATAGCTTACTGCTTTCACTGTTTTAACATGGGGTTCAGCCCATTTTTCTGCTTGTGCTGCCTTATCCAAAGCCTGCAGAAAATTGAAAACATGAGTAGTTGATTAATTCACTAGAGCATACAATAGCCTGAAAATAATCGAGAGAAAACAGATTACTTAGAGCTAGCAGAGGCTAGAGCTGCTGCATATGATCCATCAGTGGAGGCTTACTAGTAACAATATATATACATATCTATATCTATATATATGTTGTGTGTGAAAAGAAAGAAAAAAAAGGAGCACAACCAACCAACAAATTCAATTTATTTACAGTCTCGATAAGCACTAACTATCTCAATTCATAAAGATCCCAGGGGCCAGAAGACATAATCTGATTCTAAAACTTGACCCCGACACAGTGAATTTAAAGAACAAAAAGAAACGAAGGGGAAAGCACGAATGCCACCGGTTCCTTTATTTCTTCACAAAATAATTAGCAGGAAGTGAAGTTATATCATAGTACCTTTTCAATTACTACATCAATTGCAGGTTTTGCATGCTCATTCCAGCGTGTTGTGATAAAAAACTGCAAAGAGATAAAGCTTCAGAATAAAGAGGAATAAAAGTTAGGGTGTGGGGCAAAATACTAGAGCATTACCTGAAAATGGCCATAATGTGTAGCAAGCCAAGGCGGCAGCCACGCACCATGAACCTGATGGCGAAATAAAAGTTAGCATCACCCTCACACCTGAAACTTTATCTAAAATAACATTCACCACTCTACATTATCCAAACACATTACCTCTGTCAATTCTTTAATTTTCGAAGCAGCCTCAAACTTTGCCTTCATCATCTCTTCCTACAATTAAAATTAAAAATAAATGTGTAACAAAATAGCACTATCAGGAGTCTAGATTAATAACATTCAGATGCATTATGAAGTACCTTAGACACTTCAAGAGCCTGTTCAGTTACACGAATTCTAGTCTTCTGTTCTTCATGAATCTTCTGGAACTGTTACAGTCAAAAACATGCCAAATAAAATTATTATCATGATGCTACGTATTGAAGCAATAAGAAAACCATCAACCTGAAAGACCAGCAGTGTAGGAGAAGAAACTATTGAAATAATTTCTTACATTCTCCAATTTCAAACTGGCTTCATTTGTTCTCTTCTTGGCTTCATTTGCTAAAGTTTCCCAGGATTCTTTCACCCCGTTCAGCATCTCTGATTGCCTTTTGAGATCATCGACCTGCATAAGGGTGGTAAATCATACAAAAAGGAAGACAGTGACTTTAAAAAAAAAAAAAAGTATTGCATTTCATTTCTTGCCTGTCTTTCTAATTCATGAGCACGTGCATACGCCTTCCCAACCTGCTCCTCAGCATCTAGCTTCTCTTTTTTCTTAGCACAATAATAGACTAAAAATTTTCAGCATATGAGTGAAGCATCAAATATGGTTTTTTAGAGACAATTATAGCAGAAAGATCAATGATGTATCGACAGATGAGAATTTCACCATCCTTAAAGACATAGTAAAAGCCTAAACTGCTGCTGCCACAAACCTGGAGAGAAGCAATCTCGCTTTCAAGCAATGAAATGCTATCTAGCTTGGCGCTAATGATCTTTTCCTTCTGAGCTATTACCTCATCCTTCCTCTTCAATTCTTGGTTTTTTTCATCAAGGTTGGATTCTTCAGCATTGGGTAAAGCCGGGTAAAGTCAAGCGTTGGCACCAAAAAAGAAACAACAGGACACCAATTTAGAAATTGAGAAGTCTCCCCGAAAAGTTAAGAAAAAGTATGAAAGAGCTATATTCATCCATCATCCAGTGCATTGTTTGATACTAACAAGTGTGAAAATTAACGTACAACCCGATATTCTATTTTTATTCCCAAATTAATTATCAATCCAACAAACAGTCACTAACCTCCCGGCATGCAG